CAAACATTTCTATTAGGGGAAAAGAAGAAACCCAGTTTCATCATATACAACACGATTAATGCTTGGGATTTAACATTGGTAGGATATGTACGTGAAAGAGATTTCCCAGTAAAGAAAGATTCGCTGAGCAACCATTCTCCCTCATCCATTTATAGTCAGTGGCATGTTTGTAAAAGGTGGTTGACTAGACCAACCAATGGACTCAACACAAAATATGTTTTCCCTCTAAATTCATTAGTCGCTATGTAGATAAATCATAACCTTGGTTACTTTAATAAGTTAATTTTTCTATAGAGATTATAAACTCCTTTAGGACAGGAGTATTTTACCTGTTGAATAATGCCTTCAGGCCTAAGGTCTAAACAGGGCATGTAGAACGTGCCCAATAAATATTGGATTGAACAAAGAAAATATAAATAAAATTGAGTGCAGTCTGTTTGTGGTATTTGCTGAGTCATATTTCTCTCCTTTTTTTTTTTTTTTTGAGTTATAACAAATATTTGATCTCCTTTGAGTCATAGGGTTAAAATGTGATCACTCATATGTTGTGGTAAGAGCAGAAAGTCTCTAATGTTCAACTAGTCCTGCAATTCCTTTTACTGATGAAATAAAAGGAAGCCCCTGTGTGTTGGTTCTACGCCCTGTTTGGATTCCCATATTAGAGCTCTCCAAACATGCTTCTCACTATTTAGAACTTCCTTGCTTCCTGTCTTGCCTTCCACTTTTGCTCCCCAGAGAAACTAATGATGCCACCGTGGCCCTTTCTTGCAGCCTCCATGGTGCTTTCATTAAGCTTCTTGTCCCTGGGTCCCATTGTCCTCTGATTAAATAAATGGAGTCTGGTACTCACTGAAAATAAACAGCAACTGCGAAAGTTTTGCCTCTTAAGAAAGTCTCGGCATTGTTCTGCCCTGCCACATAGATTGGAGATCTCTGCCGCTTCCTTGTGTTCTGAAAACAGATTCTTCATTTTGTCACGGTTCAGCCAAATGATTTATAAAACATGACCTATATTGTTCAGGCGAAGGGGAGGAGGAAAAAAAGAGTTTGAGAAAGTGACTAAGAAGTGCAGTAAGGCTGATTCACTTTAGTGGGGCTGCTTTATTTACGCCTTGGTCTTTTCCTTATAAAAATGATGGCATTTTTGATACTGTGCTCCAGGCAGCCTCCCAGGGGTGAGTGCAGATGTGCTGGGCCATTTGGCTGCCCTGTGGACAGAATCAGAGAGCCTCTTTCTCCCTAATGAAGTCATCTCACAGCAGCCCAGCCTTTTTCCCATCACTCCATGTTGGAACTTGGCTTTGGCTTGCATAGTTCTGCCGTGATGTAGATGGTCTTCCAGTTAAGTCCTGGAGAAATCTGCCCAACCATGAACAAGACATTTACAACAGAGAAGGGAGAGGGGAGGAGGAATCTTCTTATATTGAAAGAAACATTTTACTGTAACATTTTGATTTGGGGGTTGGGGAGCAAAAACTTCGTATCTGATTTCTGGGAAAGAAATCAATTTTTTTTTTTTTGTGGCTTTCAAGGATATTTGCCTGTGTATAATTTCTCTAAGTGATTTATATACTTCAGGCGAGAGTGTAATGAGATTGTCACCATGCTTTGCTTCTTGAAGGGTTTCTTTTAATTTTTAAAGAAGACAACAAAAACCTTACATTACTTCTTCACTCTCTCAAAAACCAAAGAAGATTTAAAATGTTGGATATAATATCTGTCCCTAATATGTAAATTAAAAAATACATGTTTATTTATTTATTTATTTATTTATTTATTTATTTATTTATTTTAAATGAAGCAATTTTAGAGGGTTGGCTTCTTCTTTCTAGGGTCTTTGGAGTTCATTAAAGGTGCATTTTTAACCAGTCACATTCTTTCCCCATCCAGAGAGGATGTTTGCTTGTACCTAGGACCAGCCAGATCAGGGACTTGAAATGTGAACTCTGCTGTCTGAATGCAGATGAGACTGAAACCTTGTTGTCCCTAGTGCAGCAACAGATAATACCGTGTCTCAGAACACTTCACCTGATCAATAAAAAAGGAGAAGACTGACATGCGATCCCAAAGGCCCTCAGGTGGAGCTTTAGACGGAGATAATGAAATTCCCTGGAGACAAACCTGCCAACTACACCTCCCTTCTTCACGTCCCTGGCTGGCTGCCACCAACCGCAGCCAAGTTCCTGAAGACAAGATCAAGGCAAGGAAGCAAGGCACATACTTTCTGGCTTCTGGTTTCTTGTCGCCACCAGCACCAAGAGTGAAGATCTTGCTTTATCTACACCTAGACTGTGGAGTTTACATAGGGAACGTCCCCAGTACAAGGACAGGATATAAAGGGAATGCACAGGATATAAAGGGGCTATTTGAATTACTGTTTGATTTTGACTTGGGCAACCACAGTTTTGGTTAAAAACAAACAATATATGTTCCCATTCAAAAATGTTTGATGATTTTTCAGACATGGGGCAATCAGAAATAACTCTTCTCTTATTCTCTTTAGTTGATAAAAAAGAAGATGGGAAAAAGCGAGGGAGGAAGGAAAGGAGAGAGAGAGAGAGAGAGAGAGAGAGAGAGAGAGAGAGAGAGAGAGAGAGAGAGAGAGAAAACGCGCGCTCAAGGACAGTTACACAGAAATAATACAGCTGTAGTCTCTATTCTGAATGTACCTAGTATTCCTTTTTTTTTTATTTTTTCACTATTATAGGTAGCTAGAGGTGAAAATATGCCTTAGAGAAAGAAATCAGATATTCAGGGATGTCATTCCATTGCAGTTATAAAACAGCCTGAAGAAGTGTCTGGTTTCCTAAATAATAATGTAACAAGTCAGAGCAAGGGCAGGTAGCATAAAGCTTTTCAACAAGATCCATGTTCTGACTATTTAAGTCTGAGAAAATGTCTTTGTCCTGTAGAACTACTTGGTCAATAGTTGTAATGTCTATGGAAGGACATTATGGAGATCCATAAATGTTGGATGACTATAGAAACATATTTGGCAAGATAAAGGAAAGTATCTCAGGATGTAAGGAGTATCTGACCCATAATTTTTCATCATGTTCCATCATAAACAGTTGACATTTATACTGAATGTTAACTATTAATGTTTTCCTGAAAATGGATATAATCTGCTATTAGTTGCTGGTTTCTACTGTTGATCTCCTTTGGAGAAATGTTTTATTTAACTCTATTATGAAGGGAGAGCAGGGAACCAGAGAGAAAATGAGCTTTTCAGGTTGACAGATCTACCATTTAGAAAGTGGCCTTGGGCAAGAAATGTAACTCTTTGGAACTTGACTAAGTTTTCTAAAATTTAAGAATGAGAATGATGCATACCTTGAAGTGTTTCAGAGAAAGTTCTACGCTGATTCTGGAATATAAATTTCAGTAACAATCCTTTTATTTCATTTTTCTCCCTTTCTGAGTGAAGTCATCTTGATTATGACATTGATATGAGGAGCACTGAAAAGATCACTGGACCAGGAGTCAGTCAGGATTTACATTCTTGTTCCAGCTCTGCCATTAGACATGTGACTTAAGGAAAGTCACATTCTGGGCCTAGGTTTCCTTATCTGTTAAATGTGAAGGTTGAAGTCCAATTCTGTGGTATAACTGTTATTCTAAATATTTAATGAAATAGAATTTCAATGTTAGGAATGGTAGTGTAATAACCATAAGAATAAATCATTCTGGAAACAAATTGATTTCTACGCCCTATAATTAATAGTCATGTCATTCACTGATAAAGAAATGAAACATGTCCATTTTGAAGATTGAAACCTATCTTTTATTACTTAAAAACTGTAATGCAGGACACATACAACTTGCAAAAGAAATTCATAAAAGAAATATCATAATTGTGCATGGGACAAATGCCTTGGTTACTACAAGTTTTAAAATATGAGCTTCAGCCAACCTACTCAGAGAATTGAGAGTGAAAAAAGATCTTCTTCAAACATCACTGTTGTGAGGTATTGTGTTTGATATAAATTTCTAAGTAGAGACCAGAGAGAATTAGGAAGATCTTCCCTATCTGTGCAGAAAGAAGTATTTGCTATCCTTTCAGTAATCTCAGAGTTAAACTGATGTGCACCCTAGGACTTAGTTTGTTCCCATTGTATATGGGCATACTTGACTTCAAAGAAAAGGAAAAGACAAAGTCCCTCTTTTTCTAAGGGGCAGAATCCTTTGTGTCAACTGGTTGACCCTTTGCTCTCTAGGATCCTGTTGGAACTCTTTTGTAACACAATGCGGACCACTCTTCCCTGTGTTGGTGCTATTTACCTAGTTGGGTGGGCCTGGCTGAAAACAAAAATCACACCAATATGAATGATTATGGTTTCTGATCACAAGGCAGGTGATTGATATGATATACTCAAGGAGTCCCTGTCACTCAGAAAAATTATTAAATACTCTCCCTTGAGGGACACTTTGAAAGAGGGAGGGAGAGAAGAAGGAAGAACGCAGACTCTAGACATAGATAGGTTTGTGTCCCAGGAAGAGGATCTGTTGGAATCCAACGCGAGGATTTCCTGTTCAGCCCCCTACTGCCCAGGGTCTTTGTAGATTGCACAACGCCGCCGGGGGTTCCCATTGGGCAGGTCCCGCGGAAGACAGCGGGCCATTCTTCTGCTCTCCCTCCACGTTTCAGAAGGATCCCCTTTCTGCGTGTCAGGCTGGCAGGAGCCGAGAGCCTGACACTTCCCTCAGGTGGGACGGGGAGGCTCGGGGGCTGCGTAAACGCGCTGCAGCCAAGTTCTCTGCTGATTTTCCAAGTTTCCTTTGCTCCCAAGAGCTGACGGCACTCAATGGTCTAGTGCTGGCCTGCTCCACCGGAGCCTGGGGCTCGTCCCCCCCCCCCCCCCCCCCCGAGCTGGCAGCGCGGGGGCGGGGACGTGGGGGTGGGGACGGGGCGGGAGGGCAGCGGGTTCCTTGCGCACAGCCAGCGCGATGGTACTTGGTGAGTCGCTGAATGGGGAGCGCTGCTGTCCCCTAGCCGATTGGTACTGGTCTGGAGGAAACGCCGAGAGGTGGGAGTGCCTGGGGAGGGAGGGAGGCAGGCGGTCCCTGCAGCGGGCGCGGGGAGCTGCCTTTCCGCCCCTCCGCTGCTTTCCCAGCCTGGGCTCCTCGCAGTGGCTGGAGCAGCGGAGCCTTCAGGAGCCTGTGCATGAGCCCTCCTCCTCTCCCTCCTCCTCCTCCTCCTCCTCCTCCTCCTCCTCCTCCTCCTCCTCCTCCTCGCGGAGTCTCCTCCTCGGCGCTGACGGTACAGTGATAGGATGACGACGGGTGTCACAACCCGCATTTGAACTTGCAGGCGAGCTGCCCCAAAGCCTTTCTGGGGAGGAACTCCAGGCGGGGCCGGGCGAAACAGCCGCGAACATTAAGCGCCGTCAGGCGCTGGGACTTGGATCGGTGGTCAACCCCGCAACCTCCCGCATCGTCCGGCACCGTCCCGCGCCCTCCGCACCCTTCCCCGGCCACCGCGCTTCCTATGTGACCCGCCCGGGCGCGCCGAGCCCGTCCGCGCAGCGCTGCGGGGAATCGCAGCCCACAAACTGCACTAAGCCGCCTCTCAAGGTAATCACGTTTCTTTTGTTCCCCTTAAAAAGAAAGAAAGAAAAAAACTTATGGAAAGAAAGCAAGCTTAGAAAAAACCAGATACATGGCCATAGGTAGAAGGCTTTAAGGAAGGCGAAGAGAAGAACTAGGTGTGGGACGACGTTCAGAAAATCTATGCACTTTGAACAATGCAGGTAACTTTCAGAGGGACGCCTGCAGAGAGTGCGGAGGGACCAGGGTGCTGGAAAAGATGCAGACAAAAGAAGCCCGAGGTGGGGTGGGGGAAGAAGTACAAACTGATTTGGGGGGAGGGAGGGAGGAGAATTGTGGAGAACCCCGAGAAAAGTCGTTGGGTCTTAAGCTGGAGAGGACAGAGGGGACCCTGGTGCATCTTGATCTTTTTTAATTAACCTGCGGAGGCAAAAGTTTGAATGGGGACTCCGAGACTTGCCCACATCCAAGTCCCCGGAGCTGCTTCGGTGCCGGCCACCTGGTTGCCAGCCCGGGGTGTGCGGTCCATCCCCTGCGTTCCTGGAAAGCTGCTCCCGGCAGCTCCTGTCAAGGGGACCCCGCGCCCCAGCAGCCCGGGACCTGTGTGCGGACCTGATCGCCCTCAGCCCGCAGGCAGTCTGGGGGAGGTCCGGCCGGGGGAGGTCCCGGGCCCCGGGGCTGCGTCTCCTTGGTAACTGGGGGGCTGTCAAGGCGCTCCCCTGTGCCTCCGGGTCCTTTTGTCCTGCGCGCTGTGCGCAGCGCCCGGCAGAGAAGGAGCCGGGGATGGGGGTGGGGTTGTGGGGGCGCCGCGGAGGTCTGCGAGGCAGGCGCCTGGGCCGGAAAAGCTCGCCCTGAACCAGCGGGGATGGGATGTGCGGGGATGTTATCTCCCTGAGAGCCAAGCGGAGGCTGCCGCTCCCGTCTCAGCGCGCAAACCTGCGCTCCGAGCGCTCCGCAGACAAAGGTGGCGCGGGGCGGGGGGACTCGAATCTGGAGCCTCCCGGACCAGCCCTCTCGCCCTCCTTTTGCTTCCACCTCCCCACCCCCTCCCAGCTCGCGGCCCTAAAGTTGAGCAACTTTGCTGGCGGGTCCCGCGGCCGCGGAGAGAGCAAGCGCGGGGAGCCCCGCGGGACGCCCCGGGCTGAGCGTCCCGCCGCCCCGCGGAGGCGTGGGTGCTGCGGGCGGCAGCCCCGGTGCTCGCGGACGAGGGGACATCAGGGCTGTGCCCGGCTCGCTGTCTGTGTCCCTGGGCGTGGAGTGGTCAGCGTGTGCGGCAGAGGACAACGAGGGAGGAAAATAGTGTCAGAGCCTACACTCTCTGCTCTGGGATCCAGCCGCGCCGCAGCCAGTCCGGCTGGTCCCGGGGAGATGCTGCGGGAGGGAGGAGGGAGGGACGCGGAGCCTGGGAGCGGTCCCGCCCGGCGCGCGCTCACAGACGGAAAGACAAGTCCCTGGGCTCATCTTTGTCTCTCCCTCTGTCTCCATCTTCTCTGCCTCCCTTCCCCTCTCCCAGCCTCTGCTGCTTCGTCTCTCTCTCTCTCTCCCTCCTGCGTCCCCTCCCCCAAGGCTGACGAATGAATGGCTGGGGTGAACCCCCTGCCTCCCGTGCCCGCCAGGGCAGGCCTGGAGGGAGGAGCTAGGAGCGAGGGGGGCGGCGAGCAAGGGACTCGCCGAACCCAGACGTCTAGGAATAGGGGGCTTTGTGGCGGGTGTGGGCGCCCCCTGATGGAGAAATCCAGCAAGGTGGAGGGGAAAAAAGCGAGTTTCTCGTCTTCCTACCCACCCACCCACCCACCCACCCACCCAGGGGAAGGAGCGGATGGAGGACGCTATCTTCCTCTTCAGTCGTTAAGGTCTGAGACATAAATCTTAGGGTTTGAAGGACCTTGACTGCGAGCCCCGAAGTGCCTTTTTCCGAGTTCGTTAGGCGAGTCTTTAGCTGAGGATCTACAGGATCCAGGTTTGCGGAGGGGGGGGGGGGGGAAGATGAGGGCTGATGTTCAGTTTGGGCCGTAGAGCTTTAAGGAAGGTAACACAGAATGCCTTCCTTTTGGGAATTTTACCAAGTCCCATGACCATTTGAACCCAATGCCAGGACCCTGCCCCAGGACATTGCAACAGAAGGGTCCCTAATCCAAAGTCTAAACCTCCTCAGCTTCAGGGCCTCCACGGAAGTCGGAGGTGTGGAAAGAGGGAGCCAGAGGGGAAAAAAGAGAAAGGAAGGGGACGGTGGAGCGAGGGGAAGGAGGCAGGACCGGCGATGGGGCTGAGGCACACCAACAGCTGGGAGCGGACGGGCAAGGTTTCTAAGTTTTGGGCTGAATTTCAGGTCTCTTGTTAAAATAGTTTTGTTTTAAATCTCACGAGAGACCAGAAACGCGTGCTGGGTGGGACAGGAGGGGAGGAACTAGCCTCTTACAGCATCAGGGTTTGGGGTGGTCCCCGACAGGGAGTTCCCTCTCCGCCGCCACGTGGGCTGGGGCTGCAGCGGCGGCCGGAGGCGGGTGCGACTGCTCGGGCTCGGAGACAGCGGCTCTGCGAACCGGCGCTCAGCTCAGCCCGGAGGCTGGCGGGGCGCCTCCCAAGTCCCCGCCCACAGACCCAGGGGCGGGGCTTTAGGGGCGGGGGCGGGGCTTGGCGGAGCTGGGGAGGCGGGGCTGACTATGTGGTGGGAGCTCCGCGTCTGAGCCCCCAGCCCCTGTGCTGGCTGCTCTGCTGTAGGCAACCGGCTCCTGTCCAGACGGCGCTGAACACTCTTATTGAAAGACTGGCTTGTGGGTTTTTTTTTGTGTGTGTGTGTGTGTGTGTGTTTTCCTGGTTCTTTGGAGCGGTAGGAGTTTTTGCTTTGCGTCTGGGAAGAATCAAAGACCTACTCCAAGCACACTCTTTTGTATTGGGCAGAAAAATGAGACTCCTGAATTCAGTACTTCTGGGGTCGTTTTAAAGACCACTTTCTGTTGTTGCTACAAGGATAATCACGGTCTCTAGACCGTCATGCAGAGCTCGTCTGGAATAACAAGCAATTGCCATTTTTGACAGAACTTAGAGAATGTCATGAACGCAGATCCTTTGGGGCTGAGTGGGTGTAGGGGCGGTCTAGGAGTATCAGGGGCCTTATCGTGGGCCCTTCCCATAGAGGGAGCTGAGCGCATATTTATGAAATGACTGAACTGGTGACTTGAGGGAATGTGGCGCAGATGAGAGACACTGCCACTTAGAGCTGTATGTGAATCTCTATTTCTTTGCAGGGTTTTAGTGGTCTCTTCAGTCACATATGCTGGCATCTAATTAACCCTCTTTCTCTTTTTGACTCCTAAAAGCCGTGACGTAGATTATGTTAAGTGCTGCTTGGCAATGATGCCAAATCTATCCTGCAAATATTCATATAAAGTATATGGTGAGTTTAATATAAAAATAGGAAGGCACTCATGGAAGCCACAATTAGTTTTCAGAGATAAGATCTGTTCCCAGTTTGGGCAACGTGTAACTTGGAATGTCAGCATATCAGGCAGAAGGCATCAGACACTGACTTCTAGTTCTGAGGTCTGAGTAAAGAAAGGAATATTTTACAATTGCATATGCCTGTCTTCGCTAATTAATACTGCAAAGGGTTCCAGTGGATTCCAAAGTGATTGAGCAATTACTTCCTCCAGCAGGAAGTCCACAGTCCTTAATCTTCTTTGTGGGTGGTGGGAAGAGGGATGAAGAGTCAAGATAATCCTTAAGAATTTATGTAAAAATTCAAAGTTATTGTTTTTTCTTGGTAGATTAAAAAGAAATAAAAAGCTATTCCTACATTTCTGGCTTTTAAAAAATGAAGTTTGAAAAGAGCCCTCCTGGATTTACATGTTTACAGATATAGATTTCTTTAACTTTACGCTTACAAAATGGAGGGGAATGCTTCTAATATCCTAAGATATCTATATCTGCATCCTTGTAAATTCTGTTTGGAAAAGACCTAAATTAAGGCTGAATCAATTGATATTAAAGACAGTTATTGCTTTCTCTTTCCTCACATTTTATGTTTAAGTACTTCATGGTTAATGATTGGTCACTAATCGAGCATCAAAGCCTTTGAGAACACAAAGATCAACCAAGGCTGTCTCCCAACAGTTGTAAAACTAAGCTCGCCTTTCCTAGTGGGGTTTACACATGTTTATTGACCTTCTTCATGGGCAAACATACCTAGACACTGTATTTAAAATAAGATTTTACCCTGTGACTGAGCAGAACTTTTCAAGACACATGGTTCATTTGAGGGAAAGAATGAATGACTGTAGTAGGCTATTATTTCACCACCCACCTAGAGAAACCAGTTTGAACTCACAAACCCTCATTGTTGGGGGTTACTAGCGCTGGTCTAAGAAAACATGCTGATTGTTGCATAGGTCTGTACTTTACCAGAAAACACAAGGCCCATACTCTCTCTGGTTTGGAATCAGAACAAGGAGATGTAGAGACTAATGACTTGGCTGCGCTCCACTTCAATGAGTGAATTTTTGCCAGTTTCCTCTGGTAGCCTAGACTTGGTAAATTACATGTATATGCATATGTTCTCCAGGATATATATTTTTTTACTTTGCTAAGTTCTTATCATTGAATATGTCAGTCGTGGTTAAATTTCAGTGGTTAGTGAAAATTACCTTTGTTTAATATGTTTGTCAATTATGTTTCCTGAAATTCCTCTGGACAGCTCATATGTATACAGAATATATATATGTTCTACCTGATTCTCTTAAGAATTTTAAGAGGTCCTTATGTCTATAAAAATGAGATTATATCACTTATGATAAATACACATAATATGTAAGTTATAATCTTTTTATTATTAAATCACTGAATTGATAAAACCTGTGGTGTAGTGGGATGACCAGTAGACTGAGAAAACCAGATTAAGACACAATTTCTAGACCTTTAGTGTCAGAATCAATTAAATGAATATACAGCTATAAACATTAAAAGGATGAATACCTGTGGGAAGGCTTTTGCAAATGGAAAACTATAAAAATAAGTGGTGTTATTATAGT